TTTTATTTATTTATTCATGAGAGACAGAGAGAGAGAGAGAGAGAGGCAGAGGGAGAAGCAGGCTCCCAAGGAGAAGGGAGCCCGATGCGGGACTCGATCCCAGGACTCTGGGATGATGACCTGAGCCGAAGGCAGACGCTTAACCATCTGAGCCACCCAGGCGCCCCAAGGCTAAGTTTTAAAAGGAATAAAAAGGGATTTCTCTTTCTTTCTCACACTCCTGCTCCCTCTTTTTTTTTTAGAGAAAGAAAGAACGCGCACGTGCATGCCAGCAGGGGAGGGGCAGAGGGAGAGAATCTCAAGCAGTCTCCTCATCCAGTGCAGAGCCCAACACAGGGCTCAGTCTCACGACCCTGAGACCATGACCTGAGCTGAAATCCCGAGTCGGCTGCTTAACCCACTGAGCCACCCAGGTGCCCTCTGCTCTCTTTCTGGCAAAGTGGGTAGAGTTAACTTGAACAGGTTAACTAGTTATTTGCTGGTAAGTTTCAGGGCATGGGACGTAGCTCCACTGCGCCCAGGTGACCCATGCTCACTGTGTGTCCCCTCGGCGTGTGAAGCACTCCTGGTGAAGTCGGAGTGGACAGCTTTCCGGGGGGACGTCTTCAGCTCCGAATTGGCCCCGTTGACGTAGACAGAGAAGCCCTGCTCCAAGTGCTCCAGTCTCAGTTGCATGGGGTCCTTGGTTTTCAGATGCTTTAACACCCTGGAAGAGAAACAATCACTTGCTCCTTGTTATGTGAGCCTGGGCCGCCACCCAGGCCCACATGGGGAGAGAACTGCGCCTCTGACGGGCAAAGCGTCTCTAATCGGAGGCCGGGTGGCGGGTGCCCAGCTGTTCATCGACAAACAGCCTCTAAGAGGCCCATTACACACACAGAGAAGCAGCAAGGGGGAGACTGTTTCAGGCCCTGCAGGGGTGTTTCTGCTTTCGTTCTGAGGCTCAAACGCACATTAGCAACAACGCAGGCGCAAGTCATTCCTCTCTCCGCGGTGGCCGAAGACAGAAAGCAGGCGTGTGTGAGCGCAATTACCACACAGCCTGGGCCTCCTGGGATGACCCCAACTTCATGCATCTCCACCTCGTGTGGATAACGGCACCTTCTCCAGGGCATAACAAAACATGGGTCTAAGGGTCTTAGGTTCTAAGCCTTTGCAAGAGAGTTCAGAGAACATCTACAAATCATAAAACATCCTTCGTCCGACCGGGCAGACTGACTTTTTGCTTCAGTAAATAAACGTGTTCTCAAAAGCTCACCCCTGATATCTCAAATGTCATCAGTTTATATTCTGATGCAATGAAAGCATATATCAAGGCAGGCTTTAATTTAAGATTAATGATATGATTATCACCTTTTGGCTAAAAGGGTCTTGCCGTGAACATGGCTGGACCTCTAGTTCAAGTTTTCTCGAAAACCCAACTTTACACCTCAGGCTTGATCCTTTCCCAACTCCTGATATTGTCAGTACCATAAACAGCGTGCAGCATCCTCACCAGCCCCAAGAGAACCACTCCCATCGGACACCAAATCCCTGTGTCTCTACAACCACCTCTGTGCACCCCACATCAACTAGCTTTATTTCTGCACAAGAAGAAATACAGACAACCAACCCGTGTGGCAACCAGGGTGCATCCCCTTTAAATAAGTTCCTGTCAACCTAGCAAAATGCAAATTTTAAAAAATAATAGAAACAGTAATCACATCAAGGGTGTGTATGAGGTGCCAGACTCTGTTCTACCTGCGGTACAGATACGGTAGTTGGTTCTTGTTATTCGCAGTAGTTTTATTTTATGAAGTCACCACAAACATGGAGTTAGTGAATACTGAAACTTTGTTCCTAGGGGAAAATACAGGATTTGGTTCCTGTGAGCCTCTCATAACATTTTCACCAAATGATCAATACAGAACCCTGCTGTGTGTGTGTTTCTTTTTAAAGGCACCTAATTTGATACATAGTTGAGACATTGACATGGAACTCACACACCAGCACTCTGTAACTCAGGCCTGAGGGAAGCTCCTCTAACACATGTTTTTTCTCCCTTAAGAGACATCATAGCCTTCTTACATTTAGGAACACTAGAGAGCACTTCAGCACCATGCCTGGTGGCCAGTTTAAACAGCAAAATCACCAACAAAAAGCATAAAAATGTGGAAGACACGGCACTCAGTATACTTATGGGGTAAGAGCTAAAATAAGAAGGTGGAGTATTCCCTTGTTCTACCACAGCTGGGAACGTGTGTATTGGGCAACCAAAATTTTTTGCCACTCTGCACTTGTCTTTAAATGACCACAAAAGCACTGTAAATATTTAAAATTTACGAATAAATTTTCGTGAGTAGGTGAATTCATATTTAGGGAACCCGTGAATAATAAGGATTGACTATATTAAGACATTAATCTTCCCCAACAACCCTATGGGGTAATTACTTTTATTATCCCCATGTAATAGATAAGGAGAGTGAGACACAGAGAGGGTAAGTAACTGGCCCAAGGCCACACAGCTGGTATGGTGGTAGGGCTAGGGTGCAAACTTAAGCAATCTGGCTCGAGAGTCTTCACCACAACAAAGACAATCTCTACAGCTAAGCGAGAGGACATTAAACCTGGCCAACTTAGACATTGCTGGTAACTCACAGAACCTTTTCAGAAGTAATATGAAAATAGAGAAAATGCCATATGCTTGGTCTTCCCCTTAGTGAGCCCATTCTGGCAAATCACTCTTGACCAGGAACAACAGGTCAGTGTTCGGTCATAACAAAACCCTGAAAGCAACCCAAAAGTCCAACCCCAGGGAATGGAACCTGGGATCCCACGCAGCTGAGATCATTATGAAGAGTCTGTCCAAACGTGAGGAACTGCTTGTGATCGGGGGGGGGGAGCAGAATAACAAAGGGATGTGTGTGGTTAAGTGCAAAGTCGGAAAAAGGTGTGTTTGTGGACGCGGCATGGAAGGTGATACAAGTGAAAATCCAATCATGTTGAGGAAGGAGGGTGGCATTTCGGGTGATTTCTTTGTTTGGTTTTTAAATGTTTCTTTAGCTGTTGCTACACCCATCTTTTCAACAATCATGGCAGGAACATTTATTATAGACTTCTTATCTCCTGCCGGCCTTGGAAGCCTGGGAGTTGATTGTTGGGCGGGCAACAGCATAAAACAGAAGGAAAACACAAGTCACCAAGAGACGCTTTCCAAACACAGCCATCCTTGTACTCTCTGGAGCCAACCGCCAAGGGCTGCAGTGGGCAGCAGCGGGCCCTGGGGAGAGAGCGCAGGGAGCCCGGGCCCTGGGAGGGGCCCAGAGAGTGGAAAGTCTGACCGCCCAGCCACAGGGTGCCTGCCTCTACCTCCCTCCGGAGGCCGCCCTGTCTCCTGACGCTGCCTGGGTGCTGACGGTGATGTCCCGCTTGCTACGCGGGATCTGGGGCTGGTACTCCGTGTGTGCTTCTCTTTAAGCAGAATGATTGATGAAAATGTGGATTTATGAAACTGATAAATGAGGAGATAATTATCCAGACTGTGAAAGGGATCGCTGAAGGAACTCCCCGGCTGCAGATGAGCCCACAGTGATACTCACTACGCACGTGGCATCAAAGAAAAGTGGTGTCTTTTTTTTTTTTTTTAATTGATAGCCTGCTTTGCATAAAAAGCGGGCCCTTGGTGTAGGGGATTCAGAAAAGTCAGACACGGTCCCTGCCCTGTGGAAGATGGAGCCCCTGCCCATCTGCTGCCCCATCATACCCCTAGTCTGGGTTTTGCTGGCTTCGGAGCAGGGGGCTCATGCCTCACACTACGGGAGACTCTCCGTGTGTCTGTCTATTCTCCCTTCCTACCGCGGGCATCAGACCCCTGGATATGGGGTCTGTGCTGAGTGTGAGGAATGCTCTCCATACCTGTTTCTGGAACAAGTGGCTCTAAGGCACTTCAGGTCTAGCAGGGGAGAGAAGACATGGATGCGCATCCTAACACAGCTCCCGTGGACCCATGCTCATCACTGGAGCCTTTCTGTCTGAGCCTGTAGTGACCTGTGGGGCCACCTGTACACAGCTCTTTGGACAGAGAGGAAGTGGGAATGTGACAGGGGGACATGACTGGGGGTCGGGGCACAAGAGGGCGCAGCCAAGCGTGAGGGGTGGTGGCGGGTCACTCCTGGGTGTGGCCATGCCTGGGTTGATGGCTGAACCACCTCAGCCTCAGAGCGCTGTGGTTGCGATGACCAGGCTAGGTGGCCCCTCGGACCTCAGTCACCCCAGAGGCCAACTGAGGGCTTCTCCAGGGCTCAAGCATTCAAGGAATATCTGGATGTCAGCTAAGGGAGAAGGCGTGTTTAGCATTAATATGGTGATGGTGGTGATGAAGATGACACCTGGGTGTTGTCTCTCTTACTCCCTCACTGGTCCTACCATTGGCTTGTTTTACAGATGAACTTGCCCAAGGTCACAGAACCCAGGAAGCGGCCAAGATTTAAATTCTAGTCCTCGAGGCTCCGGAGCCCATCTCCCAGCCACACCATTCTGCTGTTTCTTGTCTCCTCACCGCTTATCACACCACAAGGCCTCTGAGCAAGGGGAGTCCAGATGAGGAGCAGTGACTTCCAGGTGAGGGCGTCCTGGAGGTGGTGGCATTTGAGACCAGCCTTGAAGGATAGAGAGGTGAAGGGCAGTGGTGCAGACAGCCTGCTGTTCCTCCCAGAATGTCGGTGCTCACGGGCTCTGGGAATCGCCCTTTAAGGATGTCAGCATCCCCGATCCGTATGGGTGGAGATCGCACAGTGTGAGGGATGAAGCTCCTCACGGGAGGCTCTCCCATTTCCTTAGGTTGTGTGACCTTGGGCAAGTCCCGACACACCCCGGGCCTGTTCCTCTTCTGTAAAATGAGATCAAGAGTGCCTTGACTTCTTTGGGGTGTCATGAGGATGGAATGGGGTACTGGGCTGAAGCTCCAACTCAGAGACTGGCCCATGCCAATGCCCCCCTGGGTGCTGGTTCTCCCCTTCCTTCTCTGCCTGAATTTCCTTTTGGGGCAGTGGGTTCACTTCTCTCATGGGTATTTTTTTCCTATACGTTTCCCTCAAGCCACCTTTTCCAAAAAAGAAATAATACCACTGCTGGACTCCTGGATCCGGTCCAGCCTCCAGCATCTAGAGGGATGTATTACAGCTCCTCTCGGCTGTCAGCCCTCCAGTACTTGGCCCAGTCTGGTTGATCTGTTGTTGAGTGAATCTGTCGGGCGTGATTACATCTCTCATGAAGGTGAGTGACCAGAATCACTAAGGATCCTCCGGGGGGTTTGTGCAGGGGTGACTCGGGGGTGTCACATCCTCCTCTACCTCCCCTGGTCCTCTCCTGGAGCACACGATCATGTTCTGCTTCTTCGGGCATAGTTATAAATAGGTGGCCTTGTGCTCACCTGCTGCTGCCCAGGGAGTTCCTCAAGGGCAAGGGCAGACACCTGTTCGTTTTGCCTCGCCAGCAACTCTCCCCCATCTTCCAAACTGAGCCTCTCGGATCCCCTTTCAGAACCACTCCATTCCTTCTCTTCTCCATAGGGTTTGGGTAACACCCACTCCACCACCCAGCTTAAGGAGGTGGCCAAGGAGTGGCCCGTCAGACCATGCCACTTCACCAGGCACGGGGGGCGATTGGCTCGGGGCTGGGGCCAGGGCCCACCTCAGAACCTTTGCCAGAACTATCAAGAAGGAAGTGCTCTCTCCTCCTCGAGGCAGGATGTAAGTGTGGGGCCACCAGTGACTGCCTTGGCCCCCCGTGAAGGAAGTACTGGCCTCAGGTGACTCCAACATGGAGTCAGAGCTGAATACCTGGATACAACTATGCCTAAAGCTGGATTTCTCACTTTCATGAGCCAATAAGTTTCCTTATCGTTTAAGGCCTATTTACCTTGGGCTTCTGTCGGTTCGACCCCAGAAGCACTAACTAACAAAGTCTGTGCCTTCCTCATCACGATGTTCTTCCCACTGGTGGCAGTGCTAAGCACTGAGAAGGCCCTCAGCAAAATCCTACTGAATGAGTAAAAGAATAACATCACGGGCATCTGTGGCAGCTATGTTCTGGGCAAGTCACTCCTGGGAACTGGCTCCAGTGATTGCACACACCCCCTTTCTCAGGTCACGGGGCAACCCGGATCAGCAGACTGGGTTTTCATTTCCCTCTGTGCACACTATACAGCCCAGAGGCTGGTTTTCTACCAGGTCATACAACTAGATCTCCAATAAACTGCGGTTTATTTCCACAAAACCCCTCGTCATGAAAGTGGCAACTCTGACGGGTTTCTCCCTGCCTGATTATTTATGACAATGTCAAACCAAACAGCAATCAGAAAGTACAGCCCAGCTCCCCCACTTCCTGCCTGGATGACCTTGGACACATGGCTCACTGCTCTGGGTCTTCTTCATCTGGAAAACGGGTGCAAGGAGTGTAGCTACCCCTCATCAGGTAGTGGGAGGATATAATGAAATGATGGGAGTGAGGCGCCTGGCACACGGGAAGCACCCCAGAGAAGGTGCCTCTAAAGCAACACCCAGTGATAGCTTGGGGAGCCACCCACTTTTCATGTCTCTATCTGGAGGTGTTTCCAGCTCTACCTTCTGAGCTCCTGTCATCACGCCAGCCCCCTCTCGGTGACAGCGCATCCCCCAAATTTTATGGCAACTCGGCTTGGACATCTTTTTTAATTGCCTTGTGCTACAACCTTGTCTCTGGATATTCTCCTCTATGCTATCGGCTGGTACCCCTTTGATTGTGCACTTATTGATCTGCTGATTAATGAGAAGCAATTTGCTCCTAAGGAACTATGACAATGTCCTCCCAGACAAGTCACACGGATATGATTAAACAATCACTCAGGTGTTTGGTGGCACCATCTAGCCTGCCAGGAACGGAATAAAAACGCCCTGCTCCATGGCATTAATGATGATAAAAACCCCTTTGGGCTAATCAGCACGAGCCTCCTACTACCGCAGTTGGAGCCGCCCCTGGGCGGGGGAGACAAGCACAGGGTGGCTGGGCACAGAGGACACGCTGCCTGGCGCTTCTAGCCGCTCCTACAGTTTACCTGTTCAAGAGTTCGCCACTAGGGGTCGCGCTGCCTCAATGGGGGCATCTGGCAACGTGGGCGGGCATTAGGGATCCTGGGCATCTTAGTAAAGGGGTCGGTGGGCAGGAATGCTGAACTCCTGTAACACCAAGGACTAAACCCATCCATGCAACATGCCAGTGGGGCCCCACCTGACAAGCATAGGGGGTCAGGCCAGTCAGATGAGGGCTGAATGCACATGCAGGATGACAACAACCCCCGCCCCCCCCGCCCCGGCTCTCTTGCCTGCAAGACCCCAAAATCATTCCCATTAACCCCAAGGCCCAGATTAGGGCCCCATCCTCCCCACTCCTGCAGGTCTGTTATAGGGGCCTGCAGCATTCTTCCCGTTGTTTTGTGTTTTAATCTGAGTGCATTACCAACATTTTAAAACTCCGGGGATTTCAAACCCAAATCCAGATTTCCAGCTTCTCCAGCAACCTTGGAGGATAGGGACCCCTGGGCCCAGGCTCCCACAAACAACAACTGGCCTGAGCTGACTGAGCAGCTGGGAAGTGAGAATCCCAGGTGTCCACCGTCTCCACCGAGCTGGCTTCACTCACTGCCCGGCCCCTCCTCACATCTGAATTTGCAAACCCAGCTTAACACGCAGCCCGAGGCCTGGTGACAAACCACAATGAACTGAACGTGAACTTCCACGGGCCCCGGGAAGGCAGTGAAGAGGGGACGCCTCCTTCCAGCCAGATCACACTGCTTTGCCCTCGGTCACCAAACACTGCATCTACCGTAGGATTTTTCCGGAGCTAGCATACCAGAGTCAAAATGAGTACCAACTTAACATTAAATGACATATTGACCAACTTTAAACACAGATGGGAAACGACTCCACCTTGATCTAATGAGGCATGATTATAGGCTCAGATTTCACGGGCCCATCAGAGCCTGGAAGATCACAGACAGGGCTATTCAGGTGACTAATGCACAGGACCTGCCACGTTAGAGGTTTTCCATGACAAAGCCACCTTCTCCCAGAATGGCAGCAGGGAGGCGAGAGGTGGTACTTACATGTGGAACGGTTTGCTACAGCTCAATCAAAGATGCAATTAAATCAGCGAGTGGAAAAACGGGAGCTGGGATTGCAGATAATATTCCGAGCCCCTGAGTGGAAGCTGCCTGCATCCCATTCCTGTGTGAAACAGAGCCTGCATGCTGTTTAATAAATCGAAATAGGGTTTTTATTTGGCTAATATGAAGGGCTGCCGTTGAGCAGCTCATCTTACCGGTTCCTCTGCTGAAGCAATATTAAATACTCATCATGTTTCTCATCGAAGTCTGGCACCATGTCCTTAGTGTAACCCTGAAATGAAGAAACAGAGCAGTATGATACAGGAATGTGGGGAATTATTTACGGAGGCAGGAGGCTGAGAGGCAGAAGCTGAGCTTGACAAAGGCATCGCTCAGGCGACCCAGAGCCCCAGAGATGGTCTGATGGCCCCGTGGGTCTTGAGCATACACAATCAACATCTACGGAAAGGACAAGGCTGGTTTCCTGGTCTCGACACTGTTTGTTCTGCCCATGTCCTATAAGATCAGGGGCTCGGGCCAAGATTTGAGCTTTAATGTTTTCTCCACACTCATTATTTAGTTACCTGAATGATCATAACCAGATGTAACCCAAATCAGTTGTTTAAGGAGGGATCTCATTTTTCTCTTGCCGTGGCAAGAGAAATGCATGCTTATTAGAACACAGTCATTACAAAAATATATGACCCAGACAGTGAGGGCTCCTTTAAGAGCAGACACTTGTGGGCTTAGGCCTCCTCTTCAGGCAACAGAACTCTGGATTTCCTCTAGAGAATCATTCAGCTCCCGTTTTTTCAGTTCACTGGCTTCCTGAGAGGCCCTTGAAAGTTCCTTTGTTGGCCTCTTGGGTTACATGACCTTGGCCTTGGCCTTGCCAATCAACACAGTGCCTCCCCCAGCCACAGTGATTCACTGATCTGTGGATGAGCCCTGGGCCAAGCCAGGCCCTTGAAAGTCAGCCCTAGGACTGTGCTGATCCTATTGGGGGAAGAGCTGCTCTCTTTCCACTGGGGGGCTAGGCTGATGAGATGCAGGCCTGGAACTGTCTGAGAATGAGATCAATAACTGAGACAGCAGGTGCACTGAGAGATTGAGAGAGATCCTTAATGTCATGATTTGACACCTTGGATCCACTCATTTCTGAAGAAGTATCTGCACAATTAAGTTCTTGCTTTAGAAGTTTCTGCTGAGTCTCTGTCATTTGCAGCCAAAAGAATTATGTCATATATACCATAATCTGATCATTAGAGATAACCCCTATTATAATTTTCTTTTTTTTTTTT